CTACTAAACTGACACCCATATAGTATTTAAGGTGTTTCTGTCCATGAGTCCATGTATACAGATTAAAACTCTGCTGAGACATTTCCATGAAAACAACGATCCCTGTTCCTTCCTAAGCTATCTTTGGGAAATCAGAGCTGAATCCACTACAACAGGCTGGATGTGCCAAGAAAAACTGCTCCCTAAGCTGAGAAAAGGCAACCTCATTTGGGTTAAGTTTTCCCAGAGGTGACACACTGCCTTTAAGGATTTCTCTTTCTAGGGAAGATAAAAACCAAAATGGAGGGAGAAGTAAAATTACTCAGACAGCAAAAGATAGAACGGGGGATGGTAGAAATGGTAGAAAGAAGTAGAATATGAAAAAGCTACCCTGGTATGATAGCAATATACAGTACATGTTGTCACATAATGTCTTATATGCAGTATCACACGATTAATCTGTCATATTTATAATAATCTTTCATCAAATGTAAACAATTCTCTTTTATGTGTTTTGCAGTTCCAATGGGAAATCGGTGACATGGGCGCAGAATGAGCACAGCTACAGACCAAACATATGGAAGAGGATGTCATTCCATGTCAAGAAAAAGGAGGTAGTCGAGACGAACCAGACAGCCATCATCAAGCCTTTCTCTAAAGGAGGAGATGCACCTGCGGGTACAGGTGTCAAAGAGCAGTTTGAAGAGCAACAGGTGTCTCAGCCCTTCAGCTGCTCCCCCTCTCCATCACCAAGGGGTTTCCAGGGAGGAGAAGATGGAGAGGATGGACAAGCCTTACCCACCTACGAGACTGAGAACCCAGCTGGAGTCAGGAGAAGAGGTGGGGACAACAACCAGGGTGTTGGTATGGTGGACTGTGGGGACATTAGTGTCATAGGCGTTGGTGACATCGGCATAGGGATGATTGGTGGCCAGGCTCAGGGCACCACTATCATGGACCAAATCAGCTGTGTGGTTAATCGTTTTACTGCCAACATCAGCGAGCTGAACACCATGATGCTGCCAGGGGGAGTCCCCGCCAACGCCTCACCTACCACCGCTTTGCCTGCAGCTGCAGATGCCGCCCCCTGCCCACCTCAGTACCTCACATCCAGAAGCAAGCAGGCCGCCTCCACTGTCACCACATATGCCGAGGTCGCGGTCATCTCCAATCTCTGCGAGAGTCGACCAGCAGGTAAGATTTATGAGCACCTGGCCGGGACTTGCGTGAGTAGCAGGCGAGCCAAGGATATGGAGGAGCTGGTCGCTCTGACGCCTCCCTCCCCGTTTAGAGACTCGTCTCTGAGCTCCAGCGGCAGCTCACCGCCCTCGCTGTCTCCAGCCTCTGAGGCCGAGTATGACCAGCTGCTGCTGAGACACTACTGCCAGAGCTCCTCCTCTCTCTAAACCTGCTCTCGCTACACATTTTTTCTCCTTGTGGAGTATTTATTTCTAAAGAAAATGCTTCAGACCGGACCAGACTCTTGGATGCCTTTCTATAAGTGGATATTCTGAATATTTAAGCCGGTTTTTTTTTTATTTTATTTTCAGATTGGGATGAATTCACTCACACATTGGAGAAATACCATTGGCAAGACTGCACATTCTAAAATTAAGCTGAGCAATGTCAGTGCTTCATTGTTTGTCTCCAAGTGAGTAAAAAGCTGAAACACACTTATGGGCATTTTAGATGCTTGACGCAGGTACCTGACTTTTCAAATCCCAAAGAAAATACTGAGATAAGCTGAGAAAACATATGTAAAATTGCCTTTTGCATTTTTATTACATTATATAATGGTTATCAATCTTAAGTGGGGAAATTTACCAAATATTCATGTTCAGTGTTTCTTTGTATTATGCCAAAATGGCTCATACACTGACTCTCGAAATGGCATTTGAATTGTTTAGGTAAGTGCAGGTATTGTAACACTCAATGTAGTTGTATTTAAGTTGTATATTTTGCATCTCAAATTACCATAAACCAATTAGTTTTAATTGCTTACTGTATATAATTGCTGTTGACTAATCTTTAATACTTTGAGACCTGGGTGGATGCAGACTGTATCAGCATGAAGGCATCTGTCCAGAAGAAAATAGCTCAAATAACTTTGTCTGAAATCAAAAGGTCAAGTGTGACACATTTTTCTTGCCCTCTAATTTTGTTGTCAATCCTGGAAGACACAAGCGAGCATTTTGTATCCTGATGCTAGAATAGAAAGTGTACAGATGCTGCATTATTGTATGCAAATCAGGAAGCAGGTTCTTCTGAGTGGAGAGTTCTCAACAGCCTTCTCTTTGTACTGAGAATGAAACCATCCTGAGAACAAAAGACACAACACCATCAGGTGTTTTAAAGAGATGATGGACTACTTGGCTGTTTTCTTTAATTCTTTCTTTTAGATGTGATTTATCTGAATGTATGATAAGTTGTAATTTGAAGTGGACCAAAATGATCTACCACCTCAGGATGTGTCTGAACCGAAATACTTTTACGATTCAACTCCTACCTGCTGAACGACTGCTGTCATCTGTTGGCTCAAAAATGTTTCCAGTTTGCATGATGTCAAGATTTGGTTGCACTATTTAAGTTATATTTGTAATAAATTACTTTTTGATATTGTTAATGTGAAACCAATAAGATGAATAGCTACAGTAGCAAAAATAACGATACTATCAGTGTGTGTGTATATTGATGTGTTTTTAAGATTAGTTTTAGGAGGAGAAAAGCAATCTGAAAGTGTGCCAGATTTTTCTGACATCTGTTGAAAAACAGCGGTTTCTAGCCTGGCTTTTTCCTACATATGTGCCAACGTCTCCCTGCAGTAAATGGCATTGCGTTTCTATAGATGGGCTCATGTTTCAGGCATTATAAGGAGGATATATTATTTTTTTATAATATTCATGAGATTTTGACTATGTTATTTATTATGCTTGAAAATATTCAATGAATATACTTTTTTTGTATCTGCATTTTGGCCTCTCTGAGGATGTAGATGAATGACGCTAGGGATTGAAAGGCTAGCAGATGATGATGTTCAAGCGGAGCTAGCGAATGTCCTTCAGTCCCTATTCATTCTGTATGTTTACACAGGCAGGAATGTATTCAGGTTGTTTTTTTTATGTGCACTGTTTTTCTACTGGCTGTTGATGTAAAAATCACCATAGACAATTGCCATATTTGCATGCAGGTTTGTGCCAATTTTGCAGGTGTATACATACGCTTAATGCCAATAATTCACTGATATAATCTACAGAAGACATTTGTTCATTTTATCTCTTCATTTGCCTTTCAAATAACCAGAATTTACTATTTAAACTTGTGCTGCATTAAAGGTTTCCATCCAAATGCAACGCAGTTTCTTACAATTATTTGTAATTCTCTGTAAATGCTCTTTATTGTAGGAATTCTTCATCAGTTATTAAAAAATCAAAAGTGTAACTTACTGGAAGAGAATGTCTCAAAGTGACTTTTGAATGACACTTACAAATCGAATTTTCTATATTATCGTGTTTTAAGGAGTCACATTTCTTTTTAAGAAACTGGATCATGTGCAGCGGTATTTATTTATACACCTCCTAAGCCGATTTTAATTATACACCTTCTCTAAATAAGAAGATAATTGTGTCAAATCACGGGGCGATAATTAATAGACCTAACAAGAAATAGGGTTTCTGGGGCACTCTTTATTAAATAACATATTATAATATCTTATGCCGTGCATTGTGGACCAAAATTGTTCAGTGAAATTAACATTCACAAGATGGTGGGCAAAGTGTATAGTTAGAGCGTAATAGCTTTGAAGAGCTCAGGGAGATATCAAGGCCTCAATGGACCAACTCGTTGTTTTTCCTTGAAATCTGATGGTGGTATATGCTGTTACATACTGTTGTCTACCCTCACTGATATAAATGGAATGGAAAAAAATATAGGCACACTCAATATGATGTAACAAGTCAACTGCACCACACCTCACAGCCTAAAAACAACCATAACCATGATTTCTCTCACTCCTACAGACTACTTTAGATTCACACAACACAGAATATCGCATGCTATACATTTCTGGCTTGGTTTACATCTGGCTTGAAGGCATGGGGCATGGGGCCGGGGCCTCTCTGATTAATGTCCTCCTTGCCTGGTCCGTGAGTATCGGTCCTCTCTTGGTTTGTTGTGGTGCCATATTCTTTACTTTTTTTAACAATGGATTTAATGGTGCTCCATTAGATCATGTGACAGCTCATGTGACACATCGATTGCACACAGGAGGACTTAATTTAACTAATTATGTGAATTGTGAAGGTAATTGGTAGCACCAGATCTTATTTAAGGGCTTCATTGCAAAGTTGGTGAAAACAAAAAAAATCACCAATTTTCAGTTTTTTATTCTATTTTTTTCAATTTTTATTTAATTTTTATTTCAGGTTGTAATGCAACAAAATAGCAAAAATGCCAATTTTGCAAGGCACATGTGTTATTAAAGGCAGCAGAAAACAACAGTTTTAGCATTATTTCCCTTCAGGGGCCAGAGGGAAGAACAGAATCATTGGAACTGTAATTCACACCTAAAGCTAGAAAGTGGCAAGAAGTATATGTTAGTCGAGTCACTATGTCCTGTTTAGCTATGTGAGCAACCCCTCATGACATAATAGCCATTGTTGATTAACCCAGAGTGCAAACAGTTAATAACTGGCCAAACAGAATACATCTATAAATCAAACAAGAGTGCAAACCTGGCTGAAGATACAGACTGAGTGAAGAGTCTGCTCTCCTCTTTGCATCTGTCTGTCTAGGAGATATGGCAAATAGTACCAGGTCTGGGGTCTGTTTAAACAAGCAGGTGTTTATTTCTATAACTTTGGTGAGTACTACTTTTTTTTCTCTCTTTATTTTGCTCCCTGGTTTAAATTTTCTTCTGAAGATGGAGGTTCGGTAGTCCAGTTTTCGTGGCTTAATTAATTATTTTGAGTTTTGATCATTAAGGGGGGGGGGGAGATTGTAGGTCCTACAGCCCCTGGTACGGCTGGCTTTGTTCTTTTTGGCCAGGCCTCCAGACTCTAATAGTTTTGGTTAATCTATGGTATCAATTATGAATAAAATCTTGTTGCTTTAGTAACTCTTGGGTATGGCATCCTTTGTACAATGTTTTCCTGTGACCATAACACATGCCCCAGACTGTTTCCAGAGACAAGCATGCCAATCTGTAAACGTCAACCTGCAATGCATATTTTGTTGTGTTTGACATGCCTGATCCAGCAGTTGGATGTGTTGCTAAATATGGGGAATACGTATATTGGATAAAGATTTTGACATACCGGAAATGCCTTTTAACAAAGTCTAAAATGGGAGCACTCCTATCTAATTACTGTGTGCTTTCTCCTGCTAGTTACATTGCAAGAATCTGAGCAGTTTTACATCAGGGCGACTAACTGACATCACTGCATTAATTGCAATAGAACTGATTTTCTAACTGCATCTACACATACATTTAAGGAGCTCATTCCCTATTTGGCCAGACAACAGGGGCATGGCAACCTGTGGGAAGTGTAGCTACATTTAGCATTAGGGAAACCTGTAGGCTACAAAAAAGACAAGGCCAGGATGTATCACTCTTTCCTGCTCTCCTTTGCATTGTAAAGCTTATAGTTGTTTCGGCTAACTTAAACAAGGAAGCGACTATTACGCAGCACATGAAAGGGTTAACATTTGAGAAAGTCACATAAAGTGGCAGTATATTACGCTGCGCCTTTAGTAAACCGTGCGCACGTCTCCGAGGTCACAAGTTCCCAAGCATAGCCCCTGAGCAGATCACACGTCTCCAACCCCCACCAGAGGGAGACACACGGGACAGGAAGAGGGGACGAAGCTGAATTCATACCGAGCCAAAGTTTGTGGAAGCTGCTGCGCCTGAGATCCGACAAGTGAGATGACCAATCAGTCAGCGCACTCCAACGGCATGCAGAGACTCCGGAAGGAGTACCTGTACAAGGTGCTGGTTATAGGAGACCTGGGGGTTGGGAAGACTTCCATCATCAGGCGCTACGTCCACCAGACCTACTCCACCAACTACCGGGCCACCATCGGTGTGGACTTCGCCCTGAAGGTGTTCAACTGGGACTCTGACACGGTCCGGCTTCAACTGTGGGACATTGCAGGTGAGGCAGTGAAGAAGTAGAATGGAAATTTGAATTGTCTTTTATTTGCTGGGTATAAAAAGTTGTCTCCTGCCATCACTTCAAGAATTCAAACTTTTAAGTTATCTGCAGCTGTAGGGTTCAGCCTCATTGATTGGTATGATGCATTTTAATTGCACACTATTTAAAGCTTAAAGTATATTTTCGTGTTAAATTTGGCAAATATGTGCAAGAACTAAGGGACCTCTTCATATTCTCATTGGAAAAAAAGTAAACATGTTGTTTTGAAAAAGCAGTTTGTCATAGTTCCTGAAAAGTTGATGGTTTGGGAAGATAAGACTTATCTTCAAAATGACAGTGAGACATGACTTTTGTAAACTTTTGAAACATTCACAACTCAAAGATGCACTGTCATTGTGAAGAGCAGTATTTTCTCTCTCTCACACACACACAAACATCTGACTTTCAGGCCAGATCTTTATTGAGAGGATACTTTTGAACTCTGTACAAACCTTAGTTACTGTGTAAGTGATTCTGTTGAGCTGTTGAGCTAGATGCTCACAATGCCAATGGTGCTTAGGGAAGACCAGCACACTGTCATTCAGTCATTCATTCAAGGTATGATGCTGCTTCATGTGATTAGGCCCATGTGAGGGAGATTTTAAGGCCAGTCACATGGGTCTCGTTGTAGCCAAAACAAAAAGCTAAACATCATTAGTCACTCACAACTCACAGGCAGACACATGCAGACACATGCTTCAAGCGGTCAAATGCAATTATATGTCACATCTGATGTAGTGTCATCTACCTGCTTTAAATGTATCCTTGTGAGGAGGAGCAGGGATAGACTCAGTAGGGGCTGAGGAATTCTGGTTTCTTATACTCTACGGTACATTTCACATGTTGTACTTTGAAGTAATGTAAAGCTGTAGATTGCACCATACATTTACTGAATGACAGCGTGTCAAGTGACGTGTGTGATGCGTGTGTCTCTCTGCGCATGAGGGTTCCTTGTGAGCAATGCAAGTCATATATTCTCTTGCACGAAAGGGGGAAGTTCATGAGGCAGCATTTTGTCATGTCAGAAGTGTTTCTAAGCCAAAATGGACTCTCATAAGTAAATATTTATTAACCATGTACATTTTCTGCTGAGAGGGCATAGTATGTCAAACAAGCAGGATGTACACACCTACACGGCACACGCTCACTTTTGGACCAACAAGTACTCCCATTAGACAGCAGAACTCTCCCAGGGGAATGTCTTGTTGACAGCTGTTCTAACTTGCACCTAATTTCTATTCCCTGCAACAATACTCAAACATGGATGAACACCCATACATGCATAGCTGAACACAGACATTTTACATGGTTATATTTTATTGTAAGAATACCGCTACAGTCTGGGACAAAAGTTTATTTTCATGACAAGTCAGGCATTACAGGTGTAATTTAAGTAGGCCTATTATCAGCGGGAACAAGCAGTTGCATTGAGCATCTAGTTAAGTGCAACGTGACGGTAGGACCACAGGAATGTGCTGTTTCATTAAAATGCAGGCTCTGCTGCATGTGGTCTAAAACGGCTCAATGCCAGCTGCATTAGCTGTTTTGCTGCAAAACAATGAGAGGCTCTTATCAAACTGATGGCTGACGTAATAACAGTGTTGCCACACTAATGAATTAAGCTCCCTGTGCGCGTGCGTTCGTTCATCACAGGTCAGGAACGTTTTGGAAACATGACACGAGTGTACTACCGTGAAGCCATGGGAGCCTTCATAGTGTTTGATGTGACACGGTCCACAACCTTTGAGGCCGTCATCAAGTGGAAAGAGGACCTGGACTCCAAACTACTGCTGACTAATGGACAGAGCATTGCCACTGTGCTCCTGGCTAACAAGTGCGACCAGGGCAGGGAGTTGACCAACAACGGCATCAAAATGGACCAGTTCTGCAAGGACCACGGCTTTCTCGGTTGGTTTGAGACCTCGGCTAAGGTGAGACCAGGGCTGAGGTATTCTTATATCTTATATCTGTCTGTCAACGTGAACCTGGAACAGGAAGATGCTTAGCTTAGCATAATGACTGGAAATAGAGCGAAACAGCTAGCCTGGTTGACTTCACTGGCGGGCATAAGCATCGGTCGCATATCATAAATATGCCGTATAGTATGCCAGAAAAACATCATCAAAAAAAGTTAGTGTAGCAACTCATAATAAAGTCATTGTATAGTATGTGATGAAAAAATGTCTCAAAAGTCACAGTATAGGATGTGATGACATTTTTTAAATAAAAACATCATATATGTCATATAAAGTATGCAAGTAAATAGTCATAGTACCATTTAGTATGTTAGCAAAATGTCATAAAAACTCATATAGCGTGTTTATAATCAAAGTACGTGCCATCAGGCACGTAAGAACGTAGCAGTGCAATGTGTACAGTTTGTTATTTATAAATAAAAATTCCAATTCCTCTATACCCAAGCCCAGTTCCCTTATGCTAAGCTAACTGGCCTAGGGCTTTAGCTTCATATTTGACATGAGAGTGTCGATCTTTTCATATAATTGTAGAATGCAAATGAATGTGTTTCCCAAAACATCAAAGTATTGCTCTAGTCATCAACATGTTAATGAATGGGCCAGATGGTAGGCCTTTGCAGTGAGCGGCTGTCACACTCTGAAGTGACCTGATTGGGAGATGATCTCTACTGTCAGTGAAAAACATCCCCACAGAGCCAGCTGGAATTTCATATCCTCGTGGAAAGTGGCTCTGCGAGAGGAATTTGAAAAGCAGGGTCAAAACAAGTTATTTTAGTTGGAGGATTGTTAACTGATTTATCTGCCTGGTGTTCAAAAAAGAGTTCTGCTTAATCAATAGAAAATTGTAGGTATTTTGTGCATCACATATATATATTATAGTATTTATGATATAGGGCATGCTTGACTAGAATTTCAAACATTTATATTTGAACAATTTCTTTCTGTACAGTATATGTTTGTAAGGACTGAGCTGCCAAATAATCTAAACAAAACGTACGTTTCTGCAATGCATGACAATTTGAATTAATCTCGTTCCACACACTGATCCAGAAGCTCTGCAGTAATTACACGCAGCTATAAATTCTACAACAATTGTTTTCATTCACACATCCTCTGTTGACACTAATGTGTTGGAGGCTGGAGCTGCATAAGTGCGCTACCATTCTTGTGGCATCAAGACTCAACATTCTAAAAGGTCAAAGGTTATGAGGTGCAGGTTCAGCCAGAAATGTCAGAAGTAGGCTACGCAAACAGACACACACACGTTGTTCTTTGGAAGCAGTTAGAAAAACATGTTTACAGCATTCATTTGTAGTAGTTTCAGACACTTTAAGGTGCACACATGGTGTTAATCACATGAAGACGATAGCATGCTAGTTACCCACATTTAGAACATGCTGTAGGTTAACGCCTGCACAGGATGCATACTAACGGCACGGCAGCTGAAGCTGGAACATTGTGCTTTACTGACATAGCTGAGATGATTGTTTTGGAAACTATCCCAAACAGATCCATTAAAATCATGTTTTCCAACGGTCCATAAATCGTACGTTTACTTTGGTTACTTGACACAATTTTTTCTTGGGATCATAGATGTTTTTTTATTCTCTTTTGTCATATAAAAATATAAACAATCAAAATGTCAGACAGGATATATAATTCAGGAAATACAAATGTGAAACAATACTTGAACGCGACAGGCTATAAAAGAGAAGGAAATACAAAATGATAGACCCATGCCTGACAGTTTTCTCTCTCTCTCTTTCAGGATAATCTCAATATCGTTGAAGCTGCAAACCTCCTGGTAAAGCACATCATGGCCACAGAGAATGACATCCTGAAAAGCGTGATACCAGACACCATCTCACCTCAGCTTCACTCCGACAGGCAGATGAGCTGCTCTGGCTGCTCTAAATAAGGATAAGAGACAGAACAGAATGGAAAGACAGTAGTACAAAGAGGGACAGGCACACCACCCAGCTTTTCAAGGAAATCTAAGTACACACAGTACAGATCGGCCTCTTTGGTCCAAAACCAGGGTTGAAGATTTTATTTCGGTGAGTGTTTGTGGTTTGTTTGTGTTCTCAGTGCCCAATTACAAGAGAAACAGAGTTTGTAAACTAAAATCACATGCAGTAAGAAGCACGACTTTTAGTGACTCATCACACTGTGTTGTTAAAAGTTCTTTTGGCAGACAAACAAGTATAACTTCAGCCCTTTTCTATTGCTCTTTGGCATGGTTATTAAACGTAGAAAACAGGAGCTGTTCTTTTCAGCTGCTCAAGATTGCACACTCTTCTAAGTTCACTTGGAGAAGTGCTGGCAACTGGCACTCAACGTGCTTCACCAAACTGAACAAACGGAGTAAATGCTCCCAGCGTGCCTGATGCAACACGCCCAAAGGCAAACCGGAGTTGTGTTTTTGGTTCCTCACCATTTCAAGCAACTGTGGTTGTGATTCTGTTCTCTCTCTATTTACCTCCACCTTCACTCGGTGCAAGAAACTGACATGCAGGCTTCCTTTACAGTTCATTCTGCCAGAGCCAAAGAAAGCAATATTGACTGTGTAATTATGTGAATTTTGCACATACATGTTTTTTTTTATTATGCGTTTAAGTTATTTCCATGCTTTTATGAGAGTAATGCTAGTTAATGTATTATGTGTAAAACTTTTCCTGCTACTGACAAAGTCGCAACACATTCGTATTCATAGCAACAACTTGGTCGGAGGCAAAGAAAGGACGACAGTTGAACACACACACACACACACACACAGCCTGGAGCTTGCCTGGTGTTACTAGTCTTTTTCTAGTTCCACTGGAGTAGTTCAGGTTGAGGTGATCAAAGGTTTGATAGACATGATTATTTGTTAATGGAAGAGAGTGGATGTCCTTCTGCACAAAGTTCACTTCCATAACCACTATATCTTACGGCAACATTTAACCAAAGTGATTCATTTATTTTATTATTTATTTGCATCTCCGGGGTTGTTTTTTTTTTTTTTTCATCAGAAGGAAAATGGTGATTGTCTGGATGTAAACTGGACTTTATCATGAGTTCACTTGCCAAAGCCTAACCCTCTGTATCCATGGTAACTAGATCATTTTTCATGGTTATCCTCAACATCCGTGAGAAGCTATTCCCATACAGTCACAAGCACACACACACCCATACCCACGCACTCTCCCTCCCTGTCCTTGTATCTTTTTTACATCACCTTTTCTCCTCCCCCACTACACTCTATCCTTATTGTTTGTATCCTGAAAAATTCTCCGTCCCCTAGAAATGTGGCTGCTTTCAGTGTCTTTCTTTAGCAGTATATGTCCCCAGCCCCTCTTCTCCCTATTTCTCTCATTATCTGATTCACATAGCCTACAGTATTTGCAGCATATTATATAAACCCACACAGGCTCGACTACACACCCAGAGATGTTGTATTTTGTATTGATCTTACAACAACGTTGTTTTCCTCTTTTTGCTGACCTTGCACCTCTGTTTTACTTGGTACTATGTCTGTGAAAGGCAAGGTAATTGAACCCACTTTGCTCAATGTTGTCTTTTTTCTTAGTGTAACTTAAGACAGTGAAGTTTTGTGTTTGTGACTCAAATCCTTGGGTGTCCAATGTGCCAGACCTGTATAAAATCAATTGCATCATGTGGACTGTTGCCATTGAGACAAATGTGACCTCTGCACAGGATTACAATTTCACATTGTTAGTTGGGCTCATCATGAGGGTGTGTGACGTCTTGGGATATCAGAATGATGTTGCAGTATCCTAGAAAGAACTGCATGCACGCACACATTCTGTGTAGCTCAACAATAGAATGTTTTGTCTCACAAATGAACTGAGACAAACTGCTGATTACACCTTTTGTGCATTGTTCTTTTCAATTTTTAGTGTAAAGTAGTAAAAAATAAATTAAATCATATCACACGTCCCTGTTTTTGTCACACAATAATGTGACTTTAATGTGTACTCTTGCCATTTAACTTTAACCTGGAACAACCCTTTTTACAGTATGATTACTGTAGTTCATACACACTGTAGTAGTGTGTGTGTGTGTGTGTGTGTGTGTGTCTCCTCACTGATCAAGGACCCTCAGGTTCTCATTAGGAAGCCACATGACTGCTTGGATTATTCTCTGCTTGAGGGATTAGATTTGGTCGTCTGCTATTGGCTCATGTTAAAAACATCCCCACCAACAATACAACAACTGATCCATAAGCGCCACTTTGGAAGAATGTTGTCATCTGAATTCATCTAAACGACATAAATAACTCAACACAAAATAACAGTGTGTAGGATTTAGGGGGATGTATTGGCAGAAACTGAACATAATGTTCATAACTGTTTTCATTAGTTTATAGAAACCTGAAACTCAGAATGGTTATGTTATTGATAGTTTAGAATTAGCCCTTCATATCTACACAGGGAACAGGTCCTCTTCATGGAGTCCGCCATGTTGTACCAACGTGTTTCTAAAGTAGCCCAGAACGGACCAACCAAACACTGGCTTTAGCGAGAGCCTTTTGAGTTTTTACATTACCTGAAGGCCACCGCAGTTCTCAGACATGCTTGGAAAGGGAGGGGTGAGCGGAGAGGTTGGATGCAATCTGCAATCTCACCGCTAGATGCCTAAAAATCCTACACACCCCTTTAGAAACAAGCTGTTGTTGTGAGAGTGGGTGTCATTGATGCAATTAAAAACAAAACACAATTAAACATTCATTTCAATTTAGAACAATATTCTCAAAGTTTTGGTCCATTAACTCTTCCCATGACAACAGCTGGCACAGATCTAACTATTCATTACTTGGATTACTAGCCCAGCATATTGTGTTCTCTTTACTGCTCAGGCTCTGCCAGAGAACCACCTACAGAAAACACCCACATATTCTCTCAGAGGGAGAGAGAGAGAGAGAGAGAGAGAGAGAGAGAGACGAGGAGAAGCAGTTAGCAAGAGAAGAAAATGAGATGGGAGAAAAGCAATACTCAAATCTTACAGCAACATAAGACAGGCAGCTCAACAAAGGTGCAAGCAGGTAAACAGAAGCAAACGCATTAAAAACAGGTCACATTCGACTTCCTTTTAAATATTTTCCAGACAGAATTCACACACACACACACACACACACTCTGTAAGATCAAAACACATTCAGCCGGCTTAATCACGTGGAGACCATGAGGCAATTTACGTAATGCAGCGACAAGAAGATGATAGAAGAAACCTAATCTGATCAAGAGTCTTTTGCCCTGTTCTCACCATCAGTAACTGCTCATGTGGTGCCATCTGTTGTCACATTAGTAACAGTGCAGGCAATGCACACTCCTTTATTTCTAATCATATTAACTGGACTTGTATGGCCTAATAAGGAGACATGACTCATATAGTGTGTTTCCCAAGATGTCTCATTTCTACAGAAAAACAACAAATATAAACACTGTTGGATTTAGCTGTAGAAACAGACAGACGAGTTAAAATGAAGTGCAACCACTTGAGAATGACTGGATTTGTAACTTAATTACAGCGTGTGAACATGCATGCTTACTCAAGCAAATTACCTTTATTCGGGTGACTTTCTCATCCTTAAGCCCTGGGACCTCAGTGACTCTTGGTTCCCACTCCCCGGTGCCAAAACCTATTAGGCCAAGTTGACCTGCTTGACCTTAGCCACCCGGGGTCTTCCTTTAATTCTCTCTTTATAAGTTCATGAATAGCTAGTGAGAATGACCAGCATGCTGTGATTCACAGGTCTTTGTATAGTTTCATAATCATCTGGGGAGCTATTATGTTTGCTCACATAAAAGAAAATTGAGGGATGAAATTGTAGTCTCTGCATAATTAAAATAGCCTCCAGAGACAGACAGAGGGGGAGAGGAGGACTAAAGGAAATAGTGAAAAGAAAAGGAAACTTAAAAGGTAACAGAGATGAGGGTATGTGGGAGAGGGTGAATGAGATTCAGGAGGGAGAAACATGAAAGACTAAGTGCAGTATTCAATCATTAATATATCTGTCCAAGTTGAAAGATGAGTCTTCTGAAAACCTTATGAACTGAGCTATCCCTCAAACTGAACACTGACCGATTTTACATCTCATTAACCTTACTGTTGTGTTTCTTTTTTTATATATATAATATAGTGTAATGCATTGCACTAAGACTTATCTTCACAACTGAGGGATGATAGTAAACATCTTTTACTGTTTGGAGCTTTTTATTTTCTGTTTTCAATGTTGGTTATTTTTCCCTTTTGCTTCAATAAATGCAGGAATCCACTTTGACATTATGATAGAAAGATACAGTCCTTTTTATGCAATAAAAATAAAATAATGCAGTCGTAGAGCAATGTGTGCTGCAGACACATCGTAGTACACGTCTATACAGCTCTCAGTCTGTTGACTGCACAGGCGCTGCCACTAGAGGGCAATAAGCACCAGCTTTATCATGCATTACACTTTGGCTGAGCAGTCTGCAATCGGCTTGGTGGGAGAAAAAACAACTCCTTATGTCATTAACCATCAATAACATGCTCAAACCCCACTGTCCTCAAAAATACAATGTGGTTACTCAAAATGTCCTCATAAAATCAACGTATAACTGATTTTCATATTTACACAAATAATGTAAGACCAGCTGCACAGTTGTGATTGTCACGGGTGTAAAGAAATCTATACATATATGCATATATAATACAGCGAAACTTGATTACGAGGAGGTTGCAAAGTGGTTTTCTGTAATGAGTCCTGAGTGTCAAAGAACTACCATATGCAGGGATAAACTAGGTGAAAGGTATAGGTGAAAGTCAAAAGAAGTACAAAACATGGAGTAAAGAATTAATAAACATAACTGTGGTGTTGATAGTACAGGAGACACACAATATACACATCAATATGCTTGTACTGCATGGTAATGCTACATAGTTCGCTTGACCCTTGACAGGAATTTAATTAAGGGTGTTAAAGATAATCAAGTTGTGCTGGGTAACACACAATATTTCCATAGCATATATAAAAAGAGTTCAATACCTGCCACAATACAGGGCAGACACATAATGTGGGACAAATGATGGGAATGATTTTCATCACACTGAGTGAGGCAGCTCCTAAAAGTGTAGCTGCTTTGTTCATGTTTAGCATAAAAGCTCTGCTAAGGTACACTTTATTCAAACAGCACTTTAAACATTTTAGGCAAATTCGTGAGGTCTGTTACAGTGAGTCAAAGCCAAGCTCAGCGAGCGGTGCATAGCCAAGGAGAGCTGTGTCACTGTGGTCAGACGACCACAATGACAGTCTGAAATATCTTTGCCAGACATATGACGAGAAGGTAAACGTGCCACATTATGTTTGCTGTGTTGTATGGTTTTAGTGCAAAATGCTGGCTTGTGTTGCACACTAAAAAGAGAGCCAGCACTGTCTGCAAGAGGTATCGTATGCTGAATGTTCTTATTAACACCTGAGAACCTTTATAAAAATGTTAAACAATTAAAGTACATATGTTGCGTGTGTGTGTGTGTGTTATCCTGAGGTAATTAAGCAGTGAAGCATAATTATAAATAAAGAGACCATTGTTCCCTTTGTTTTCTGATTCAAGTTGTGATTGTCTCAGTGCTAAAATATTAACATTCTCATCATGCACCCTGGCTGACTTGATTTGTAAGCAGATACTATTCCGCTTTCACCAAAAAACAAAGTCTAAAAATCCATTTGCAAAGTGTGAAAAATGTGCTACAGAAGGTCATCAGAGACTTATAATTGGTGGAAAAGTAAATGAATGGTTTTGGATACCTGGAACACATTCCAGACCTCTTCATTTAAGTTGTATGTTTTAAATTGAAAAGTTAGCAGGAAATACTGAGAATATGTGCTGATTATGAACGTCCCTATTATAAATGTATCACAAGTTACCTTACTATGCAGCCTGTACTTAGTCCATAATCTGTGGTAATGTCTATAAATATCTTACGATAGAGTGGGAGCCGTTTAACAACTAGTAATGTGTTGCATGCACGTGCCCTGAGTGTGTATCTAAAGTGAATGTTGACCATCACCTGTGACTGTGTGCTTTTTTTGAGCTGGACGAAGCCTCCTCAGACGCCATATGCTTATCGAGGCCGGCAAAGCAGGCCGAGATAGAAGGCTGAGGCTGTGAAATGAGTGCATCTGTGCGAGGATAGAAAGAGGACAGAGGGCAGTTCGGGGAGGTGTATTGGGCCAACACCTGGAGCTGCTCTGGCTGCAGGTTGGCTTCGTTGTACACCCTCTGGCATAATGCAGAGACACTGTGACATGTTGTTGACTTCAGCTGGCTCAAATGGCTCTTCTCCATCATTAGTTTCTCCCTCTCTGTCTTCTGTGAAACACAGTACACACACACACACACCATGATTAACATGTCTGTAAACAAGAAGTGCTTATTAATAAAAGTTGACTGATTTGAACAAAAACATGTTTTTTTTTTTTACCAGCTTGTTGATTTCACACTGCAGATCATGTATGCAGTCTAGTTTCCTCTTGCGGCAACGCTGAGCTGCGAGGCGATTTTTGCTGCGCCGTCTTATATCGTGGACAAACTCCAGCTGTTCCTGTGTAAAGACCTGTTGCTTCAGCAGCTGTTGGAAGTCATTCCTGTTCAGATCCACAATCCACTCTACAGAGAAAGGCAGCTGCACCTACGGACGCCCAAACAGAAAACAAAGGTAACAAAGGTATCAGCATCACTGAAGGAGCAAAAACCAATGCTTTAGATATATACGTATTTATATAATTATGTTTTATATATACATATATATACATAGTTTTGTCTTTTTGGATGACGTCAAGCTGTAGATGACATATGAATGTGACTATAGTACACACACACACACCTTTAAATCAACAGTCTTAGAGATTTAATTTGCTTGTCTGAACATCATAAGAAACAAAGACATTTTAACTATTCTTAGGACATCAGTCAATGCATTAAAGTGTTAACAGACACATATTTTTGCATAACTTATCATTTGGAATATTGATTGCACAATGTAATGGCAATAGAATAACGACACCATTAGCATTTAGATTTGTTCCCTATAAGCTTCGCTTTTACTAAGCAATTCTGTCTGCCACCGGTTACCATTTCTTAGGAAAATGAAGGTCCAAAGAAGTGCGTCACCCACTGCGCATCCGAAACAGGAGGAGGATAGTGCTTTTGTTTTCCTTGGTAGCTAAGAGTAGCTATTCCCAGTTACCAAAGAGCATCAATCTAAGTCATTTGCAGACATTTGCAGACAGTAGAACAAACAACAAACAAAGTAATTGTGGAAAAAAGCTTGTGTGTTCTGTGTTGTTGGTAGTTGCTATAGAATCTTTTTTCACAGAAAATAAAAAAACATTAAATTATCAAAAAAACATGTGGAGCTTTTTGTATTTGAACAAAACACAGTTAAGTCAGGCAGAAGTCAAAATGGATTTGGAATTCAGACACCAAGTTATATTTTTACCAAGCTGTTAATAATTAACTCTAACTCTAAGAGGAGTTGCCTTTTATTAAAAGCAGAGGTTGGGTGCTGGGTTATTGCTGCTGCTAATGTGTGACAGGAAATGTACACTCACTGGTTTACTGGAGCAATCATTTAAGGTTTTATCTAGAGTAAATAAAAGTGCGGCTTTTCCTCTGAAATGACATTTGCTTTGTCTGCACAATCACTGCACTGTTCACACCTTCTGAACAGTAACATGAGACGTTCCGCAAACCTGTTGTTTGAGTCGCCTGTAGTTATTGTTAACTCATCGGGCTGAGCTGTCAATTTCAGATGAACTGGACTCGGAACTAATTAGCAAGACACTGTCGCAACACACATGTACACACACGTACACACACACACACACACACACACACACACACATCGTCATCATTTCTACTTGGTGAATAAGTAACTTGGCACTAAAGGGATTCTGAACAAGCATAATGAAAAGTAATCTACAGGGAGTGTGAGCTTGCTGACCCTTTTTGACACAGATTCATTTCAGCACATGAACTTCACAGTTAGGTGGCAGCAGGACAGACATATCAACGAACAAAACAGATGTGCAGGGCCTTAGCAGGCTTGTTTCGTGCTTTAGCTGCTCACCTGTCTGGCCCTCTCTCTTGTGTAGGACTCACTGTCTCCTTCTGTTTCCGTCTCTGAGTCTCCATCCTCCCCTGAGTTGAGGGATGACACACCTGACTGCGATGCCCCCTCGCACTCAGACAGCTCTGCTCCCTTCCATAAACATTTCCTTTGGTCCAGCTCCTGGTAAAAGGGACAGCTTGTGCTTGTGGAGCTGAGGTTATGGAGTTTCAGCCACTCTAAAGATGTGCTCTGTACCCGTCCGCTCCCTGTATCAGAGGAACTTCCTGCATCAGGGTCCTGGAAATTCAGCTGAGATAAGCTCATGTCAGAGCCCAGCTGCTTGGCCAGGTGGTCGGCCACTCCCCTTTCCACGGCGCTCCCATCTCTGGCATTATTTACCGACATGCAGCCAGTTTGTCGTCTTTCTTGCCAGCCAGAATCTATCTCATCATCTGCCTTTTGATGAATGGACCCTGGCGCTAGTGCACCAGAGTCCCTTGTTTTCTTGCCCTCTGTACTGTCCATGACGGACCTTTCGTGCCCCGGTGACCGAGTGATTGCAGGGTGCTCGACAAAGGTCGTGAGGGGGCAATGGTGCAACATTAACCCTGATGACCTCTCACTCAGCACTGTGCTCCGCCCTGACGAGACTACCTTGACACTGGATCTGTCTGTAGAGCTGATGTCTTCCTCCTTTTCCATCTCTCTTTCCTTCTTATTCCATTTCCTCTGCCTTTCATTTGTGTCTTTCTCAATCATATCAACCTCCCCTCCCCTACCGTCCCCTTTTTTCCTGTCACGTATTTCAGTTTTCCATGGCTCATCAGCCCCTCTTTTGCTCTGCCTGGTGGAAATAGAGGTTGAATTACCAGGGAATTCAACGTCACTCTTGCTGTTCACAGTGCTGGAGCAGGGCGAGCAGGGAAGATCAAAGTCATTCTTGATTACCGTTACGGGATTGTTCAGACTTTTCTCTGTGACACAAGTTTCCTTACCACAAGCCAGCTGGAACTTGCGATACTTAGGACACTGCATAAAACGGCCATTTGTCCCTTCAGCTACAGGTGTAAGAGTGCCTGCACCGTTCTGACTTCCCATTTTGCTGTTCACTGATTTGTTACAGTGCCGAGCCACTTCCTGCTGAGTTGGTGAGTCAGCAACTGGTTTTACTTCTTTCTCATCCAACAACACATCAACAGAGTCAGTGGCACAGTCTTCCTTTGACAATCGCCTCTTACATTTCTTCTTACAACAGGTCTTTCTCGGAACAGGGGCAGGGCTCTTGCTGCTGGAGAAGAACTTAGGGAGGAGGAAATCAAAGCATGCCTTGTCTAGGTCTCTGAAACCAAGAATGGAGGCGGAGTTACGTATTTCTAAGACGTCGTTTTTCTCAAAGAGAAGTTTGGATGTGTAGGCAAACTTCAGCAAGGGTTCAAAACCAGCAACAGACACCTGGAAAAAAAGGACAAGTGACATGAATGAGCACTTTATATGCTCAAGTTAATTCTCAAGGACTGCAATCGGTAATTCTAAAATATTTTCTGTCAGATAATCAAACATTTAATTCTGTAGGCCAAGGAAATGATCACAAATGTTTAACGAAATAAAGCCCATGATCATATGACTTTACTGACAAAGCATCCAATACAAATCTATTTTCTGTGGGTTTGTAATTCACAATAACCTGATTAAAAGCAGGTCCTCCCATTAAAGAATCTTGTTAATGCAACTTTTTTTTCAACAGATGTGGTATAATAAAAAATAAAAAGAGATTTTCGACTAAACAACATAAAAAATGATGCCATCAAATAACTCTCATACAGCCGTACCGTCAACCTTTCAGTCATTTTTCTCACTTCATTTTGACCCATTGTTGGGCAGCACGGCTTGTGTGTATCTACTTTCTACCTGTACGGCATTGTGAGGTGACATCTCACCTCTTGTGGCAGAGTGATGACCGCTCCATGCTGTGTGAGGGAGGAGATTCTCTGCGTAAAGTACTCGCTGCAGGAAGCGAGAATTGAGCGATGGGCTCTGAAACTCTGACCCTCCACAACCACGGTAACATCACACATTGAGTCTCGGCGACGCTGCTCGTCCAGGCAGCGCAGCACATGGGAGGAATGCACTGTAGACTCAAATGTAAACACAGAGGACCGGGGGGCAGATGTGGCCATCAGGGACATCTATATGTAAGCACAAACACATAAACATAGACACACGCACATACAAACTTGTAGGTAACATTTCCCCCTTTCAGGTTATACAGTACATACTTAAAAAGTTATACATAGAAATAACAACAAAGACATGCCTACCTTACAAGGCTGACTTTATATATCCACGTTTCTTAGAGCGTTAAAGAAAGTCCCAGCTGCTGAGCACACATGGCTATTTCTAAATGGAATGCCGTCCAACCAGGCTACGTTTCCCAGAAAGCCTTATCTCAACTCTGGTAGGAACTAAAAACTGAGCTTGACTCAGTCATATGGATTGTGTGTGAGTATGTGAGAGGGAGGGAGAGATAGAGGGAGTGAGAGTGTGTGTGGTTATTTGTGTGTGTCTGTGTCTGTGTCTGTGTCAGTGTGTGTGTGTGTGCGTGTGTGTGTGTTGCAACAACTCTGGGTGTAACAGAGCGCTGACTCATAGACTCCTGCTGATATAGGATGAGCAAGCAGTTTTTCCCGTCCACAATCCCACCCTTGAATTTATCTGGTAAACTAACAGGCTTTTCCCAGAAAATTCCTTTATAGATTTACCCCGAAACACAATTCAGGGATTAAGATGATGGTTGGGAATATAAACCCAACAGGATGTTATCTATTGTCCGTGTCTTTAGAGTTGTCTAGACTTAAGTTGTGCAAAGACTATTGAGGCCATTATGATAATTTGAAGATGAATATTTCTCAGAAGGACTCATATCTTGTTTTCTACAGGTGGCAGCATATGATTCTGTTTTTTCAGTTCAAGTTTTCTTTGTCGTGTGTTTGTGTGTGTCAGAGAGAGAGAGAGAGAGAGAGAGAGAGAGAGAGAGAGAGAGAGAGAGAGAGAGAGAGAGAGAGATAGAGAGAGACCTTTGCTGGCAGAGGCACAATAAGTTAACGACTTTAATAAAGGAGTACCAACACAACTCCTATAATTGATTATTTGTCTTCATATTCATTATATATTTATAGGCTTTTGAGATGTCAGCAGCAGTTTGGGCCATGTATTAAATATCTGTGATACTATGATAAAGGTGACTATTGAGGCACAGGAACGCTGCCAGAAAATGTGTTTAATGATAAACTTTCAAGCAATTTTTCTATAAAGGAAAAGCACACCTTCAAAGTGGACTGAGCGTTTTCACAAAGCACAGTTGTCAATGTCACATGATTTTGAAGGAGGAAGAGGGAAGGCTGCCAGTGTCAAACTGGCCAATCAGGTGACTGTTTCAGAATTCCAGACTGAGCTAATCTCCTCATGAAAAAAAATAAAATCTAGTTCCTTTTTCCATGTAAAGCACCGCAATATCACCATGAAGCCAGCACAAACACAAAAGCATGGCGAGAAATGAAACTAAGGAACTGATGCTAGTGTTAAATTAAAATGCATTTTATTAATAGACGAGGACGATAAGCAACAGTTTATCTTGTTGTATACCTCCCCTTCTACAGGTGTGTGAGACACGCTACATCAAAAAATGTACAACTCATACAGTGTTGTGTCGCAGCAGATATTGTGAAATAGATAATCACCCTTCTTCTTTTGCTGTTCCTCACAAATGGCTATAATTTCCCGATCCCTGACACTCTGTTAATCATTTCTCTCATTTCCTTTTTCATCATAACAGGAACTTGACGGGCAATTGACGGGGTGGGAGAGAGGAAGAGGGAGGGAAAACACTCTTCAAAATACAACATTTGGACCACATCATACCACCTTTGGCTCCCTCCACAGACCTCAGGTAAAAGCTCTGAGTCTCTACAGGACCTGAGACAGATATCAGAATATCTGGTCATTCGCGGCAGCTGACATTGTATAAATATATACTGTGAGGTATTGCAATGGCGACCAGGGAGGTTCTGCAAGATCACGTAATAGCAAAACCCAGAAAAGTGGCCTTGTGTCATGGCTTGGTAGAATCCCTCCAACAGCTCCACACAGATGATGACAGTAAGTCTGTGGTTCAAACAAATGACTCAGACATGAATAAACACAATGCCTTTCTGTAGCTGATTCACTGACTGTTGTTATGAAGAATGAACACTAGCTGTGCCTTTATTTCTGCAAGGTGTCCGGGCCTGGCGTCATGCTGGATTTCTGGAGGCCTCGGGTTCCGAAGAGGTCAGAGGTCACGAGGAGTCCTGCCTCGTTCGATTGGTCAAGCAGAGCCTCTCCAGCTGCTGAGCGCGCTCGTTGTGGACGGTCATCAAGCTGCGGTTCTCCTCCGTTAGACGACGAAACTCCTCCTCTAGACGGGCGATCTCCATGGCATTCTTCTCATCCTCCACCAGCTCTGCCAGCAATTTGCGCCTAAGAGGAGTGAAATAAAATGATATTTATTTTTATCAAAATGCATAAATCAGTATAGAGTTTCTTCTAATTCTACAATTAATTTGCTGTTGAGTCATTTGTTTAATTTCTATCTCTTCCCGCTTAATATTTTTTAGTTGTGAAAAGCTGGACATTGTCCCAGCTTACACTTGGCTTGAGGCAGGGTTCATAACAGGTTCATACCAATAAGCAATTTAGATTCTCCAGCTGTGTCTTGTTTCTAAAATATAGGGGGGGGACCAGAGAAACCAAAATAAACATGGAAATTATGCACACTTACAGGAAGGGCTGAGTTTATGAAATAGAAAAACACTGCTTACTGCTTACAAAGCTAACTGCTCTGGAGTAGGTAATTATGACATCCCATGTCCTGATGGCCTAAATCAGTATACTATTCATAATGCTGAGGTCAATGTATATTCTTATGTATAATATAGGATGGTGTGCTACTGTGTAGTACAGACCTAAATCATAAACATATTGGTTAATGATGAAAAGCTACAGTGTAGAGCCTTATGTGAAGCAGAATTTCACCAAAGGTCTCTGTAAAGAAGATTAAGTTCTTTGTTTGCAATATAATGGTAAGAAGTTATGTTATTTTCTGACAAATGTTTCTCCACTCCAACTGTATATTTGGTGTCTTGTAAGTCCATGTGGGCTGGGGACTTGTACAGTATGTGCATGAAAAAATAACATAAACTAACATTATTTCACAATCCCAAATATCTTTCTCAATGAAGTCAATCCAATTGAATGACTCTAGCTCTGGCTTAGACAGGCTGACCTGACTTTCGCTGGCAAACAGTGATTTCACACTCTGGGAAGAGATCAGCCTTTGGACTTTGAATGGCAGGGTAAGCACACATGCACAGAAATGTATGTGCGCAACATGCTTGTCATGTCCTCACGCTTGAGGGTGTGTGAATGTCAGTGTTGTATTACTGCTGGTAAGTGCCAAGTCACATTAACAGCAGCATCAACAAAGAAGAAAAGGAGTCTCTGTCCTACAATATAGGAGCTTTTATGCCATAACTTTTTCACAGAAGATGACAATTGGTTTGAGATAAGCCCAAATGATTTAAAAGCCTAATGCTTAATTTCTTTGCGCCAATATTACAATTCTATTCATTTCAGCTTAATAGCGGGATGCAAGTGTTTTGAATTATGTTAGTGGGGCTAATCTTTTATTTGGATCACAAATTAACCTTTTCAATCTTGTCTAAACATGTTTCTCATTATTATATAAATTAACTTAACAATTACATTTACTTTAGAATTAATATGGTATGTAATATGTAATTTTCATATGATTAAATTTACCTTATTGAGTCCAACATTATGCATCATTCATATTCAGCTTTTCTGAATAATTAATTGATGATTACAATGGACTATTTATTAGAAATTGTCTTGTTCAATGTCTAAAAAAACTATTATTTTCCTGTTAGACCAGAAAAAAATGATATAAATAGACAACTGCTGACTGGAAACTATGATGTTTATTTCATCTTATCTTATCTCTGTGTATTTCCTCATCCACAATCTATTTTCAGCTATTTCCCTCTGACTGGTAATTCCATCTGTCTTTATTTTTGAATACTTTATGAAACACATGCAAAACACACAGATATGCGATATGTGGCTTCTCTAATATACCATTTTATAATCGTACATCATTTTACTGCTTTTAGGGTTAAATGACTGTTACTAAAATGTTAACTAAAATTAAAAAACTACATTTTGAACAACAAGTAAAACGCAGTGTGATTCGCAGTTAAAGATCAGTGATTGAGATGCATTACTTCAGTGCTGAGTTTCTCCTTTCTTTATCAGAAGCAAGTTCAAATCTGTATGGCCTATGTATGCGTGTGTGTGTATGCATGTTTATGAAAAAGAGGAAGAGATCTTTTTCAGTCAAAGAAATTCCATCTGGAATACCAAAGAAGCCAGATCAAATCTGATATAAATTGAACAGAACACATTTTTTCTTATTTAATAAAAAGGGTATATACTTTCAAATTTGAAAAAATATACCTTCCGCTGTTGACTAAAACAATTCCAAAACTTTGAATATGGATGTTATATAATTCTTTCATAATTGGGGCTATTTCTTGTGTAATCTCTTTGTGTCATGATGGTTCCCAGTGATTCTGTTCACTGGTATTACAGGACTGATCGAACTCAAAAAATGGATCGTTAAACAAGTTAAAGTTCAATATATAGTGTTACAGTATGTACTTGTTTGATACTGATCAAAAGTAAACTAAGTGGATTTTGGAAAATCCCTCTGCAGTGTGTTAGAGGGCTGTTCCTGTTGTCGTCCTTGCAACACTTCACTGTAAGTCTGATTAATCTCCTGTCTATCTTTGTGTAGTGATATAGGAAGTAGCAAAACTGTCATTGCGTCATGCCTCTCTATGGTCGCTAACCAAAAGTTAAAATAATCACTCTTCCACAAAAATATATCCAATGATCAAAATGAAGTATCTGTATCAGTTAATTTCATTTTTAGCATCGGCCTAAAAGCACAATTGGTATTGCCGTCACTTGTGTCTAGTTGTGTCTAACTTTGCTTTAAGTGTGAATCTAACTTTGTGTGTGTCAGTGGATGTTGGCGTGAGCTACAGTGTGAAAAAAGAGAACCAAGAGTTTCTACCAGCCTGACTCATCATGTTCTTATCCAAACTCAAGGCTATACTCATCACATCAGAGTCTGCCATGCTGTTCTCTATTTAGGAGCTGCCAAGTAGTGTAGGTTGTGTGTGTGTGTGCGTGTGCGTGTGTGTGTGTGTGTGTGGTAGTGGGGTAACAGCAAGGGCCTTGAAAATCCCACTGCTAAAACTACCCACAGCTGCTGAGGGCACAGGGGACAGTGTGCACTGTGTGTGTGTGTGTGTGTGTGTGTGTGTGTGTGTGTGTTATACACCTCTGTTTATGTGCAAGCATACACACAGTACATACTCTATGTGCATTATAGCATACAGCAGGTCTTACTTTTTCCTAA